AGTATATAATCTTAAAGTTAAACTCTTCTATAAACTTAGTTTACTAGGCTTACTAGTAGTTAAGAGTACGCTTAGTATAGAAGTACTCTAGTTTTTAATAGTTAGTAAGAATATTAATATTAGTAGGTATACTTATAAGCTCTAGACGCTATTCTTTAAATACCTATATAATAGTAAGAAGCTTCTTATTATAGATCTTATAATTATACTTAGTAGGTATTATTTTCTTAGAGAGATAAGTAATAGGTCTAACTATTCTATTAGCTTATATCTAAGAGAGAACTATAGTATAGATATAGTTAGATATATTAGTCTCTATAATATATTTTAAGTCTAGATTAAAATATATAAGAATAATATTACTATAAAAGGTAGTCTTTAGATCTTAGAAGAACTACTCTACTTTATAAGTTATCTTAAAGAGCTTAGAGTTACTATAAGTTAGATATATAAGAAGTTTAGCTATATCTAAGAACTTATAAATAAAGTAGTAATAGAAGTTTATAAAGTCTAGAAACGCCTAGACGTTCTTAAGGCTCTATAGTAGTTACTATTTCTAGATAGCTAAGACTTTCTTAGAGTCTATCTTAATACTATTACTAGTAATAATAAGATTTAGAAACTTTACCTTATTCTTTATAAACTCTAATTTAAGAATATTTATAAAGAGCTTAGCTTTAGCTAACTAAGTAACTACTTAGATAAGATAGTTCTTATACTACTCTAGAGTCTTACTAAAGATAATAATATTATCTAGATATACTATATAGAACTTATCTAAGTACTTATATAAGACGTTATTAATATAGGCTTAGAAAGTATCTAGACTATTATATATACTAAATAGTATTACTATATACTAATATAGTCTATAAAGTATAATAAAGGTAGAAAGATACTTATAATTATTATAGATGTAGATTTTATTAAATATAGTAATAATATTAACTTTAGAGAAGTACTTAAACTTAGATAACTTTACTAATATATTCTAGATTAATAATAGTACGTTATAGTTCTTTACTATATAAGTATTAAGGTCTTAGTAATTAATATAAATCTATATACTACTACTAGATTTCTATACTACTAGTAGTAGCGTAGTCTAAGCTAACGTACTACGCTTAATATATCTCTTCTTTATTATATTATTAATATATAGTTTTACTATATGCGCTTTATTATAAGATATAAATTAGAAGCGCTATAAGAATAGCTTAGATAGCTAGCCTACCTTATTAGGCTTTAGTTTAATCTTATAGTCTAGGTTACCTTAATACTTAGAGAGTTTATTAGCTTTCTTTAGATTAAACTTATAATAGAGAGAGTATAAGACTTTAGAAAGGCACTAGATAATATTATTCTTAGATATATATAGACGTTCTATCTTATTATAGAACTTATTATAATTCTTAAGTAAGACTTTAGCGCTAGCTACGCGCAAGAATTATATATTTCTCTATTTATTATTAGATATTATAGCTAGATAGTAGATTTTATTATATAATATAATACTAATATTCTAATTCTAGTAGACTACTAAAGTAGCTACTTAACTTAAGATAAAGATAATATTAATAGGTAGAGAAGCCTTTAGGTAGTAAGCTACTTTCTAGTAGAAATTAGAAGCTTAAAGAAGTAGTCTCTTATAGTAGTAGCTACTTTAGGTATAGATAGGCTTATAATTATAGATGTAAGAGTGTAGATACCTATTAGAGTAGAAAACTAATAATATATTTTTCTAATTAATAATAGACTTATAGATCTAAAACTATAGTATTTCTAGAATTATTTAGACTCTAGAGAGCTTAGTAATATATACTAATACGTCTTTAACGTAGTTACTAAATATAATCTAGACTCTAGCTATATAAGAGACACTAGCAACTTTAGAGCTATTAGCTAGTTCTAGCGTAGCTAGTTATAAAAGTAGTATAAGTTTATATTTATATACGTAGGTATAAGAAGAATTAATAAATAAAAAAGTATAACTAGTATTATCTATAAGTTTAGCGTATTAAAAAAAGAAAGAGTAGTTTAATAATAATATAATTTCTTTAAAGACTAGTTACTAGCCTACTAAGAGCTAATATATATTACTACGTATAGTAGTAGTAGTAATAGTTAAAATAGTAATTTATAACCTAGCTAGGCTCTACTTAAGAGTTCTAACTCTATTAGTAATTACCTAGAGTGTAGAGTTAGAATTATTATTATTAGTACTACTAACTTCTACTAAGAATGCTAAGAGTAGTGTTAGAGAAGTAAGGTTAGAACTAGACTCTAAACTAGAGTCTAATACTAAATTCTCTATATTCTTAACTAATAGTAAAGAGAAATATATAGAGAAATTAGGTACTAATATAGAAACTAGTGTAGGTATTAGCTTTTTATGCTAGAGAGGTCTCTAGAGATAATAATTACTAGAGACTAAATATTTTCTAAAGAATTAGAGTTAATAGTATTAATACTAATAGTAGTACCTAGAGTGCACTTAGAGTATATTAGATTACTAATAGAGACTTTATTATTTATAATAGTCTTCTCTAGAGTATTCTAAACGTATAGAACTAAGCTAAATAGAGTAGAGGCTTAACCTAAGTAGTAGCTATTCTTAGTCTTATAGCTATAGTTTTTCTTAAAATAGTTATAATAGTAGTTTAAGTAATATAAGACTTTAATCTAGATCTTAGAGCGTTTATAAGAATCTAGTCTAGAGCTACTACTACTAGTGTTTTCTCTATTACTTCTACTCTAACCTCTACTAGTATTAGTCTTAGAGTTATTACTTATACCTTAGTAGCTTTCTCTATTACTACTAGTGTAGATATAAGCTTACTAAGAGTTAGACTATTTAAGAAGGTAGAGAGTCTAGTAGAATAAGAGAAAAGTAAGCTTAGACTTAAGAACTTTAAGAGTAGTTATATTCTTCTACTAGATAGAGAGATAGTTATAGATAAATAAAATCTTTATATAGTTATTCTATTATAGCGCTAAAACTTCTATATTAAAGTAAGTAATATAGATACTTATAGACTCTCTAGCCTTAATATAGAACTTTACGCTCTTATACTATTACTATATAGTAATAATAGTATTAAGCGTATAATAGATACAGTTAAGAATAGCCTATACTTTATTACTATAAGTCTACTTATTATCTATAGTAAGATATTCTTATTAAATATTTCTAAACGCTTTATTCTTAGTCTTTTAGTAAAGATAGTTTAGTTTTTTTAACTTAGTAGTAAAGTTATATAAATACTTCTTAAACTAGTTAAGAATATCTATTTTCTACTTAATATAGTCTGCGTTAGTAGTGTTAGTTCTAGTAAAGATATTAGGCTTAGACTTCTTAGATTAATAATAGCGTAGTTCTTAGTTATAAGTTCTATAGCCTTTAGTTTTATTATAACTACTAGTATAGCTAGATAGTAAACCTACTAGGCTACTATAAGGCTAAGGTTTATTATTATTATTCTTAGAGTCTAAATAGTTAGGTAGAATAGAACTAGTGTAGACCTTATAGACTAGCTTAGCCTTATATATAGTTAGAGTCTACTAGAGATAAGCTTCTAGATTCTTAATAGTAATCTTAGTAGCGCTAAGAGTATTAAACTCTTTATAATACTTAACTTTATAAGTCTTCTTACTTATAGCTATACGCTTAAGTTCTTTAGAAACTTACTAGTAGTTTTAGTTATTCTAGTGTAGAGCGTCTTAGATATCTTATAGCTACTTCTATAAGTATACTCTTTTATAGTTACTATTAATAAGCTACTAGTAGAGTATCTTAATAGTAGTGTTTATATTTTCTAAGTTACTCTTATAAGCTATAACACTATTCTAGAACTCTAGTAACTACTTCTATAGAGATTTTATAAGCTCTAGATAGTAGTTATTAAGATAGTCTACGTAATAACGCTTATTATTAAGATTATCTTTTATTACGTAGAGTTATTCTATAATATTACTAATAAAAGTAATATAGTTATTAGTATTACTTATATCTTCTAAGTTAGTAAGCTTAATAAGGCTTTTCTTGTAAGTAGCTTAGCTATTAACGTTAGTTTTCTAGATCTTAAAGGTAGTAGAGTTATTATTATATAGAATAATAAAGAATATAGAGAGTTATTACTTATAGTATAATTACGCTAGAAGATTAGACTTATTAATAGTAAGTAACGTATTATAAGAGTCTAGGCGCTAGTAAGAGCTACTCTATACTTCTTCTATATTAAAGTTAGAGTTATAGTTATTAATATAAGCTTAATAGAAAGAATAGTAAGTAGCGCTTATTAATAAGTAGTAGAGATTATCTCTAAAGGTAATAGTCTTTTTCTTTTAGTAAGTAATTATAGTAGCTTAGTTACTACTCTCTAAGTTAGAGACTTTAAGAACGTAGTCTAGAATCTAAAAGCTATTACTATTACTATTACTAGCGCTATTACTATAGAATAGAAACTAGTCTAGTATATATTATAGAGAATCTTAGATAAAGTTATTAGTATTTAGTAAGCGCTAGTAGATAATAGAGTAGCGCACTAGCGTAGAGAATAGAGTAAAGGTCTCTTATAAAAGTTATAATATAAAAGTAGTTATATATAAGTATCTAATAGTGTAAAATAACTATCTAGAGTTCTAGATCTAGGTATTACTACTACTACTACTAATAGTAGCGCGCGCGTAGTTAATAGTAGCTATAGTATTCTACTAGTAATAGAGAATTAAGGCAATAATATAAGAGTTAGTTACTTAGACTTAGAATATCTCTAGAGTGTTATAGCGCTGCGTGTAATTAGCGTTCTTCTATATAATAAAGAATTCTAAGATAGTAGAGATATTAGAATATAAAGAACTAGAACATAGAGAGTCTATAGTATTACTAGAGCGTCTTTTATAAGTCGCGCTAGTATTTAAGTATATAGTAGATAACTATAATAACGTATAAAGATCTTATAAAGATTAAATAATTAAGATATATAAAGATAATAAAGTTATTATAGTAGAGAGCTTTAGAAGAAGCTGTTAGAGGTAAATATATATAGTAGGGGCGTTAGCCTAACGCGGGCTAACAGGGCCCTAGGCCCGAAACTATCACAGATAGTACCACCTTCGTTGATCATACCACTTCTAAGGAACCAACTCAGACTTCTCTCAGCCCAATACAGATACAGTGTCTTCTTTCCATCGTGATTGGCACGAGTAGCCAAATGCGCAGCGGTACTGAAGAAGAGCTCGTTGGCAATCGCATTCACGTAGTCCCTTTCCCAATTCCAGTAGATACCGCCATGAGAGCAGTAAGTACCCCAGGTGCGCGATACAGCGAGGAATATGCCTTCCGCGAGGTTGAGATAAGCCGGGTCGGCGGTGACGTCGTATGCATTGATCCAGGCTAACGCCCACCAGAGGTCATCGTCGTAGTAGCCGTCTAGCCAGTCAAGAGGATCTGGCCTGGTGGGATAGGACCCCCCATTATCGTACCAGCCAAGCGGATAGAATGTGTGAGGCTCGCCGGTATCCGGATCGAGTATCTTCGTGTACCCAGTCTGGTGGCAAGTCGTGTTGCCGACAGTTGGCGTTGTGCTATAAGCACACAGCTCATCAATACCCGCGTCTGGATTCTTGATCGGCGCCTTTAGCAACGCAGTCGCAAAGATATCGCTTGCCAGGCCCTGCAATTCTTCATCTTCAGTATCTGATTTCGCGTAGTCGCCAATCATTGTCATGATATTCGCACCATTCCACCACCCAGTCGACTCCCATAGGCCGGTAGTTGTGTTATACCACAATTGTAGAGCTTCAAGCGCGAGTTTTGTGCGCCCCTTGGGATCGAATACGTCGTTGCTGTCGCTTTGCGCAGATGCTTTAGTAATGAACATAAGGCTGGGAAGGAGCAGATGGAGTAAGGATGTGGAAAGCATGGCGAATGCGGACTTTAAAAGCCGTACACCTTGAGGCTACGCGAAAGCGATGATACAAAACAATATTCCAGAAGATGTTCAGGCTATGAACAACGTTTGAATAGTAAGCCAAGATGGGCGGGGCTTGCAAGTACCCTCCGTCGAAGTCCGAGAATGGCAACACCCGCATGCGCTAATGTACTTGCAAGAGCGAGCATACACAGGGTAAGCCGCGAAAGGCGGAGGCTGCGCCCGTTCTCGTAGAAGAAGATCCATGTGGTCTTACCTCTGCGCGAGCAACGGTACCTGCTTTCCATCAAGCTGGTGTACGCGTTCTGTTGTTTGCACATCCAGAGGTGCTGATAATTGATTGGAGAAAAGTAAACGCGTCGAATGTACCGTGCACAGCGTATATGCGACCCATCCGAGTTGGATTCCGATGGCACGCCATATGCGCATGATGGAGTTTCGCACGGGAGCAGTACTTTGAAGGTCTTGGCGTCAAAGCAGCTCGAAGCATAAAATAGGGCTTTGAAGTAACGAGAATACGCGTCCCAGAACTCAATAAAGGTGGTAAGACGATCTGGGTAATGTGTCTTGCATGTTTCGAGAAGCCAACTGCTTGTATAACACGGTGCAGGCAGCTTGAGGTACCCGTGACGAATACCCCGCTACCGACCACCTGGGGATCGACCAGACTAGACTAGCTGATGCCTGCCATCGCACCCATCGATCTTGTCTAGAAATGGTCTGTGGAATCCCGGCAGTAGATTGCTTCTTCGCAATGGGGATCCGACCGATGCGTGGGATGTGAGTGTCACGGCAGGTACACCCAACGATCTGGATTTGCAATGTTGTGTGACTACCACTCAGGTAACGTTCCGCCTGCATGCTAGTAAGCCGTCGCGGGCATATAGGTTCCCGGTCGCACGTTCGCATTTGTTGTTTCGCCCTTGATACTCTGTCTTTGGCCGCTGCACATACTCAAGCGATCAAAATGTCATTGCCCAGATCTTTAACCTCTTCCACCCAACAGTTGCCGGCACCAGGTCCAGCTGAGTCCTTGAAACGCCAAATAGCCTCCAACACGCGCTTGGACGTGTGAAGATAGCCCCAGAACATCTGCCCATAGAGTTCATCTAGTGTGTTCATGATCCACTCGCGCTGACTAGGGTCCTCCGACTCGGCACCAGCAAGGAACAATGGCCAACAGATAGATTTGAAGAGTGCATCTCCAGGCTCAAGATGCGAAATGTGATTGACGACGTCGTCGGCGAGAGCGGTGAGGCTGACGAGGGCTGTGCCACTCGCGGGATCGAGAAGAGGGTTTGTGGAAGGTAGTACGCGAGCGAGATAAATGCAGACTGCCGATCGATGCGCGGACGCTATTCGAATCCGTTTCTGTATATCGTCGAATGGCGATGCACGCTCGAACTCAAAAGACCATGCAATAGGATCGAAGTCGAGCGCGCGTTGCAGGAGTACGCCCACCTGCTCTTGGAGATATATGGGCGTGGTGGTCTCAGAAGGCGACCCATGACTATCCGGTAAGGCGAAAGATTCGAGCATTACACGCAACAACGGCCCAGGACAAGAGAGGTAGTTGTTCGTTTCTGCGTAACGAAGAATCGGGTCCAACTCGATGGTCTCTGGGATCAATGCGGGAAGCGTCGTGAAGCTGAAAGTCGATCCGAGGATATGAAATACAAGAAAGTCTGAAAGAATCGTCTGGCGAAGCCTACTCATCGGCCGTTGTATATACTCCGGTTCACCCAGAAGTTTGATGAGCTTCAGCGCACCGTCCATGTGCACTTTCCACTTGTCTCTGCCTGACTCTACCAGAGCATAGTTGACAAACAGCAGGATAGTGATCAATATGAGGTCAATGTTGGATGTGTTCACACAAGTCACGCTCTTCGCAAGTAAGGAGAGCGCTTGCTGCTTCGCCACGAGTGCGTCTCTGTAGGACGACTTCAACGGACCTCCAAACCGGCTCACAGCTTGGTAATAAGCCATCACGGTCGGGCTCCGCTCGCCTTGATAAGCTGACTGGCCCATGGGGTTGCGCGTAATATTGAAGACGTGAAACGCCGAGTTTGCGACAATGATCTGCAAGAGCAGCGGGTAGGCAGAGGTCGCGGGGATGAGGTCGCGGATGGGATTCTGTCCAGGCTCATCGTACACAACCATGACTTCGCACAGCTGTGTTGCGAAGTGGTAGAGGTAGTATCGCGAGTTGCGATCGAGATCATTAACCAAAGGGTCTGTCATCTGTCGGTGCACGCCAGCAGTCATGGCCATGGTCTGATCTTGTTCCTGTGCGGACATGCGGGCAAATTCCGGTACCGATCCTGCGGCCACGATTTCATATTCGGTCTCCGGTACTTGGTGTTGTTGCGATGAGCCCTCGTGCTCCCACACCAACCTCGGCGGTATGTCGTGAGTCTTGGCTGCCCCTTCCGTCGCAGCTGCAACACCACCAGCATCGTGCTCCATCTTCTCCTCATACCCCTTCCCCATCATCTTGCCCCGGCTCGCAACCCCGCGATTCCACACAAACAACTTGCCATAACCCAGACATTCCGTCCCGGCTGACAAACATTTCTGGCAGCTTGGCAGCGACCGGTCGCACCTCCATCGTCGCTTCCGGCAATTGTGGCACGCTTTGGTCGGAAGATTGAAGGGCGTCACGCTCATTGGATGGTCGCCATGCGAGATGTGTAGACGGTTGACTGTATTGAGGTGCTTGAGGTTTGGTGGGGTGGAGATCTTTCGCGTTGCTTGTGGCGGTCGAAGGGTCGGGTTCACTGGGTTACTAACGCCCTCCAGACTGATGTGGATGCAGGATTTCGTCACACCTGTCGGACTGCAGCTACAGAAACCGATGTTGACCGAGTGCGCAGCCCGAGGATGAAGCAAGCAAATCGCATGTCTCCAGGCGCTGACAAAGACGGGTTTAGGAGGGGAATTGCGCGCATGGTTCGCTTGACTTGCCGTTCGCCCCAGACCTCGATAGATCCGTCTAGGCTCGATGCAGCAGCCAAGACTCAATCTTTGCATCGACGGTCCACATCGTGACGGCTTTATGCTCAGACGTCACGGTCACCGCTAGGACGCGCCTTTGCCTGTATGCCGGAGAGGCTCAGCACCCGAGTAAATGTCTTCGATTACACATAGCAACAATGTCCGCGGTCTTTACGGAGTCCGACTACAGCATATAGAAAGAGTGAGGACTGTGATGGAATTGGATCGTCTTGTTCAAAGTTTTTGTCATATCGACTCATAGCATCTCATCTCTCCTAGCGTGGCTGGGCGATTCGAAGACAAAACATCAGATGGCTTTACGTTGACTTTCACAACACCCAATACTAGCCAGCCCATCACGGGAAACATCATAATGTCCAACGATCCGATGGAGACTACCGCACATACCCCAAGCGACGCGATGCCATCGCCCGAACCAGCCCCAGTGCCAGAGAAGGTCGAAGAGGGAAATCCACCACAACATGGCGCCTCATACAGCCCATCCGACATCGAGCGACTCGGTCGCGAACGCCCATCGGCCTTCCGCTCTCTCCCTCACGAGCTAGGTTTCTGCTTCGCCCTCCTAGGCTCCATGTTCGTAGCCGAGTACATGATCTCCGGCTTCAACATCCTGCTACCCGACCTGACCTCCGCCCTCGATATCCCATCCAACGCGCAAACATGGCCAGCTTCCGTCTTCTCACTGGTGACGGGAGCCTTTCTACTGCCTTTCGGCCGACTGTCTGATATGTTTGGAGGATACATTGTCTTCAACATCGGGTTAGCTTGGTTCTTGATCTGGTCAATCATAGCCGGCTTCTCACAAAACTATGTCATGCTCATCGTATGTCGAGCGCTACAGGGTTTCGGTCCTGCGGCTTTCTTGCCTAGCGGTATCATGCTTCTGGGTTCTATCTACCGTCCCGGGCCGCGCAAGAACCTCGTCTTCAGCTTATACGGTGCTTTTGCGCCAGTTGGCTTCTTTACTGGTATCTTCTTCGCTGGCGTCGCCGCACAGTTCATGAGTTGGGGCTGGTTCTTCTGGATAGGATCGATCATCCTCGCTATCGTGGCCGTTGCGTCGTATCTTTGCATTCCCAACCCGAGAGAAGAGAAGGAGAAGGCGAAACAGGAAGGAGAAGGAGTGAAGATGGATTGGTGGGGTACGGCAACTGTAGTCCCGGGGTTGGTCCTGGTCGTCTTTGCGCTCACGGATGGAAGCCATGCACCGCAAGGGTGGGCGACACCTTACATCCCCGTCACCTTCGTAATCGGTTGGATCTTCCTGGGTTTATTCGTTTACATCGAAGGCTGGGTCGCTGAACAGCCTCTCCTACCCCCTGACCTATTCCGTGTCAAGGGTATGAAGCCACTCGCGCTTGCGCTGTTCTTCCAATATGGCACCTTCGGAATCTTCATCTTCTATGCGAGCTTCTACATCGAACAAGTCGCTGGCGCCAGTCCGCTGCTTACTGCCGCATGGTTTACACCCATGTGCGTTGGTGGACTGATCTTAGCGACCGTCGGCGGCCTGATTCTCCACCTCCTACCAGGCCGCATCCTCCTTCTCATCAGCGGCACCGCGTACATTCTATCGACGCTTCTATTCGCCATCCTCCCTGTTGACTTCAATTACTGGGCCTACATATTCCCCGCTATGATCTGCGCTACACTCGGTATCGACATCACCTACAACGTCGCCAATATCTTCATCACAACGTCGCTACCAAAAGCGCGTCAAGGGCTAGCTGGATCTTTCATGAACTCATTGTTGTTCTTGGGTATCGCGGTGTTCCTTTCGTTTGCAGACCTCGCAGTCAGCGAAACGGAGGAGAGGGGACGAAGGGGGAGTTATAAGGTAGCCTTCTGGCTTGCGACTGCACTTGCAGGAGCGGGATTGATCATCATGTTCCTAGGCGTCAAGATCGGCAAGGCGAAGAGTGACTTGACTCTCGATGAGAGGCAAGAGCTGGAGAGTGAGTTGGTGAGAAGGAACACGAATGAGTAAAATGATCTTGTGGATTTCTATTACCACTACTCCAGCGCTGGAAACTAGAGTCGACATCGTCGCGCAAATTTTGAACTTCATCGCAACGATACCCATCAACGACCGATCTCCTCTTCACCTGGCGCCGCAGTCTTATACGCCTTACGATATATCGACGACGCCATCACACGCGGAAGTCCTTCGCTCATGGCATTATCGTCACGTACAAGGCGGTTTCGCACTTCATGCACGTTCCCGCCACTCGGTATACCGCGCTTTCGGCAGAGCGCTGCTGCCCTGTAGTAATCGAGATAGGTGTAGTCTGAGTTACCGTGTAGAGGCTGTAGAGGTACAACGGTGCGAGCTTGCATTGATCGCTGGGTCGACAATCGTGAAGGGGATATGGAGATCAAGATCGCTCGGTTGGGTGCAATCCCAGAATGCAGATCGGGCTCTTCTCGGCTTGGGCACTTGCGCGTGGGGCTGCTGAAGGGTGGCGCTGTAGATGGGGCCTCGGAGGGTAAGAGATCCGGAGTGTATTGGAATTGCGCTATTTGTTGCTTGAACGATGGTGGGGTTGCAGTTGGCAGGGTTTCTCTAATAGGTGAATTCGCGAACTGCTTCAAAGCGTTGGCTACAAATGCTTGTGTGTTTCCGTTCGGGTGATGTTCGGTATAGCGCCCGTGTCCTGTGATTGTGGGAGATGCAGAACTGTCGGATGAACTGTGATCTATCTCGCTGGTATCGCCGATGTGTTCACCTCGCGTAGCGGCTCCTGGCGCTCCATTGTGGCGGTGGGTACCTTGAGTGCGCGGCAGTAAGTCCCTGCCGTTATCATCGACCTGATGTCCAGTTGGGTGACCCCAGAGATCGATGCGTCCCGCCCAGTAGTCTTCCAAAACCCTATTTTGTGCCTCGTCTCTGCTTCTCCGGTGTTTCATAGCAGTCTGCATAGCTGGTAGCTCGTCCGCGTCCTCTCCCGTGTAGTCTGGATGGGCCGCGAGGTAGTCTGTTGTATACCTGACGCTGTGAACGTCGGATTTGGGGTTGACTTTCGACAGCTCCGCGACCATGTGCTCGTCGATCGCGCCAGCGTTCCATAGGTGGTGGGCATGTGCGGATAGCATGGCTTTCTCAGTCGCTGCGTGGCTGTCACCATAGACAGAGCGACTTCGCTCGACCGGCGTGTCTGGCGCGGCTTCCGGTGTCGGTTTGAGCTTCTTCTTAGGCGCCATTGTACTAGGGCGAGATAAAGGGAAGGCTGATCCCGATGCGAGTGTGCGTGTGGCCTGGCTTGCTGTGTCCGTAACGATGGATTGGCGGTAAGCGACGTGAGTTCGGGAGACAAACAAGAATGCTGCATGTAGAAAGGTAGCAATAAAATGACGTAGCGGGACAAGACTTGTGCAGAAGTGAAAGGGTCGCGTCCACGAAGTTCCAAAGTTGTTGGTGCAACATGTTGGACGCAATGACAATGGAGAAATTCTGTCCACACTGAATAACTACATGTTTTTTTGTATTCAGAATGCTCGGCTAAGCCTCACTGATGCCGAAATCGACGTTCAATAGTGGGAGTGGTGGATAGTGCAATATGCGCTGCTGGTGTGTAGTGTTCATGGCTTCAACATTTGAATTTAGGCCCCAAGGATCGCCGAACATGTCACAGGGTTAGTAAGTATGCGTACAAACTCCAAGCGGCCATAGCTACGAAGAGGTGAGTGTCCACTGAGTGTGACAATGATGCTGATTAGACATGGCTATCAAACGGAAGACAGGCCGACCGACTTTCGTCGACTCGACTGACGCTTGCCTTATTAAGACTAAATCGAACGCGTCGCGTGCGCCAACCCGGGCCTCCACCAATTGCCACAGGTCTCGCATTTCATTTTGGCTGTTCTGGCCTCGCTGAGCGATAGGATGCTCAAATCAGTCCAGAAAATTGCCTCCAGTCTTGGCAAGTACTTCGTCGTAGTAGCTCTGGAATGCCAGCCAACCCTTCTCAGGCGTCCCAACCTGCTTATATGTCTCGGCAGCCTCGCTGTCCGGTATGATCTTGGGCTTGTGTCCACTTCCAGCGGCCGCTGCATCTACAAGGAGTTGTGCTTGACACGTCTTGTCGAGGGAGAGGAACCAGAAGGCTGCTTCGTCGACGGACTTGCCCACGGTGAGGATGCCGTGGTTTTGGAGGATAGCTGCTTTGCCGTCACCTGTGCAAGTGATCAGTAGCGTAAAGCATGAATGTAGACAGGGTCATTCATACCTAAGGCATCCGCAATCCTCTCACCCTCTTCGCTGGCCAGCACGACTCCGCCAAACTGGTTGTATACGCCGTGGCTCTTGTAAAAGCGGATGCTGTCCTGGGTGATCATGTCCAGTTCCCTACCAAAGGCGCTAAAGGCCTTGCCATGTACGCTATGCGCATGACAGGCTGCATGTACGTCTGGTCGTCGCCTGTGTATGGCGCTGTGAATGGCAAAAGCCGCCGCGTTGATGGGCTGGTCGCCGTGCACCACCTCGCCTTCCTCGTTCACCAGTATCAGATCCGACACGCGTATCAGGGAGAAATGCGCCGACAATGGGTTGAGCCAGAAATGGTCGGTGAGTATTGGGTCGCGCACGCTGATATGGCCGGCGACACCTTCGTCGAACCCGCGCGAGGCAAAGATGCGATAGGCAGCCGCGAGATGCTGTTTACGGTAGAGGCGTTCGTCTTCGGGGCGTTCAAAGGCTGGGTATTTGCGGACTTTGAGGGCCTTGCCCGACTTGGTCCGGCCCATAGCTGCTACTGTCTGGTTGTCATTGCTTTCGGCGTGATCGACCCGCGTGCCTGCCGCAACGGACGCGTGCAGGTCCTTGGACGATGTTGTGAGCGCCCGAGTAATACGTCGTGGATAGAGCCATTGGGGGCGCCGTGTGGATGACCCTGCGACCCGCACAAGTGACGAAGGAAGAAGGCGAGCTGTAGGCATGGTCAGTGCGATAGGTTAGCAATCTATGCAGTGGAAGAGTACAACGGCTTCCCCGCCGGGTATGACATGACGGATAGTCCGCTGCGCATCCCTGGGAGTCACTGGACGCGATTGGTGAGCTTCGCAAGAGAGGAGAAGATGGGCATCGGAGGTTAGGCCGAGGCTTGATGGGAGATGACATAAGCGGAACTCGCTGCCTCTCCAACACCAGAGCATTGTCGACTCTCGATTACCTCGATAGACTGACATTGCTGGAGTCGCCTTACAGCCATCTTTGCGTGCATTTCTTGCAAACAATACGCATTCTTCCGGATGGCACTGGAGAAGAATAGCCCGTCCATCGGAATGCCACCAAATGACATAGAGGATGACCGCGGAGACAACTGTTGTTTCTGTCACCGACCTGTTGTCTCCCATCTATAATGTCTCACTAATTGGATTATATGAAGTCTAGGTTTGTCAGGCTGTTATGAGATGAGCGTAGTAAACCCTTCTGCGCCTGCCCTTTCACTCCCAGTCGCGGCCGCGCCTATCGCACAACAACACGCTACTGCTCTACTCCTTCCCTTCTCACCCGCTCACTCACCGCACAAACTCCGTAGCCTCCAGGCAGCTGGGCCCACTTCTATGCCAGACTGGCGCCTGCGCACTATATCATTTCGCCTGCCCCTGCCCTCATCAACGCCCTGCCACGCTTCCACCTCCAACAGCAACCCGAGAATCAGCGCAATCAACCACGGCCAACATGAGGTGCACCTTCTCCCTCTTCTGCGCCTTCCTTGCGCTTCTCGCGCTTTCTCTCGCAGCCCCGGACGCCATCGACGCTCAAGAAGTGTCGACTCTTGCTACTTCTTCCGTGCAAGCCGAGCTCCATGGCTTCACTAGCACAAACACAACGTTGTCGACTGCCAGCTCCGACGTTCACGTTGCCGATGTCGAGGAACAGTGGAAGCATCTCAAAGGCTGGTATCGTGTTGATGTTCGCCTCGGCAAGGGAGCTACCCACGCTGGAACTTTCCAACAGGGACGGATGTATGAACGCATCTACTCAATGCTCAAGAAGTGCAAAAAAGGATCTACCATAGACGACTGCTCTATTCGCAATGCGGTTTTCCGGGATGGAGACAACAATTATCGAACAGACTCGGCGCTCATTCTCGAGATTGAGCACGAGTACTTCAATCCGGATTTACCAGATCTCCAGGACTTGGGAGTAAGCGTTGCCGTACTCTAAGTGGTCATGTTCAAGGGCTAACACATGTATAGTACCGTATGATGGCTAGCGTGTACCAGAAGATGACTGAAGTACCACGGAACTGCTTCAGAATCGGCGATTTCAAAGACAACAGCGGTGGTGACAGAGACTTGTTCTTTTGCTCCGTCCCGGCCGAGGCGTTGATAGTATACCCGACCAACGGAGGCCCAGTTCAGATGGTTCTCATGATCAAACTGGAATGGGATCACAAAACTTCCGATTGGACCTACGAATGTGATGGTAAATCGGACAAGGGCGTTGCAGAATACGCGACCCAACCATTCCGCAATGGTTTCAATGAAGAAATCGCCAAGATGCACGGATGGAGAGCAGACCGAGTTACCCCCTTCGTCGACTGTTATTCCCTCGGATGCTTCTACTATGATCCGAAAAACGATGGAAAGACATGGGATGAGCAAAATGTAAAATGTACACCGCGACGGGATCCGATAGGGTGTACTAAGGACGAGGGTGGTCCGAAGCCTGAATACCATTGTCCTCCAAAGTACCCTGGATGATGGAGCATGCTCCACTGAAAGCCACAACATCGTGGAGCTGGCGATCCCACTTCCTGGAATCCGAAAGTGAAGGGGCAGCTTATACTGAGATGTCGAGGTCGAGTCGGGCAGCGAAGGGCAGTGGTAGTAGTGCCCTCACTATGGTGTAGTTTCAGACAACCAAAAGCAGTAATGAGAATCTCGTTTGCATCAATATTGGTCAGTTCAGGATGCCTCAGGAGTGAATTCTGCCTTACAATTATCAGCTCTACGGGGCAGCCAAATATTGAACAAGCAGAACTTCTGAGACCACGTCGTGGTGTTCATGATTGGTGACTGGTGTTATCTGATTTAGTTGATAAATCAATTGTTTCGATAGCAAGGCTATACTGCCTAGTCACCCCCCAACACAAGCAAACTCTGCACATCCACCATACCGTGTCCACGATCGTACAATAGTTTACGCCCACAATGAAGTGGAAACTCCGCAACGACCATGACTGCGATACTCTTTACACCAGCCTTTTTCAGTAGATGTAGCACCGCACAAAGAGTCTCGCCTGCCGACAGTACATCATCCACGACTACGACCGAGTCAGAGCCGATAATCGCGTTTCGCTCTATCTCGATGCGCTTTCCAATCTTTGCTTGGTTAGGGCCTTGGGAAGATATATACGATGCGTTCTTCATGACCGAAGTGGTAGGTGGCGGAAGCTTGCCAGCCTCGCGAATGGGCACCAGAGGCACGTCTACCAGCGATGCTAATGCCGGTGCAAAGACGAGACCGCCCACCTCGCAACAGACAATGGCATCGACGTTGGCCCAGCATCCAGTGAAGTGACTTTGTAGTAGTGATGCGCAAAGAGCAAGGCCGCCTGGCTGCTGCGAGATTCCGAGTACATGTCGGAACCGGATGCTCGGCTTGGGGAAGTTCGAGATTGAGCGTACCATATCGGCCAGTCGTTGTAGGTCATTATGCAAGAAGGGAAGTATGGAGGCCTCGGCAAACTCTCGTACCGCGCCGTTTCCTGGTGTGTCGTTGACGAAGGTCAGATTTGGACGATGTCGCAGAGCTGTAGAGTCAGTCGTCTTCTCGGTGCGTACCCCCCGAGCAACCCGTGAGGCTTCGCTGGTATCAACATGGACTTCGATCGCTCTGCTCGCCGCCACTAGATGGGAGAATGATGCGACAGGTGCCTCATCCCTCATCCCCGTGATGAACAAAACATCGACATCCGCGCCTGCCGCATTGTGGACAACTTCGAGAAAGTGTTCTTCCGGTAGTCGGGGTCGTTCCTGGATTTGTTTCTCGTAGAAGGCTGTCAGCGCTGAACGGTGTTGCTCCTTATATGCCCGATCGTCTAGAAGGCGGCGGAAGTCGTTACCAGTCGCGTCGGCGAACTCGCGTTTCGTGACGTCGCTGATGCCTACAGCTTGCGCGCGAAGACCATGCGTTGAAGAAGAAGCGTTGCCGTTAAGTTCAGAGAACACGGCGACCCATTCACCGGCACAGT